GACAGACAGATAGACAGACAAACAGATATACAGGGGTGCAGATAGACAAATAGAGAGACAGACAGATAGACACACAGACAGACAGGTGCACAGATAGCCAGATAGATAGACAGACAGACAGAAGCAGGCATGGGATGGGGAAGAGGTGATGGGGAAAAGAGGGTAGTTTCAAATGAGACAGTACAGTTTGGTGCAACAGCTTTGAATGTCTGCAGGTTTCACATCCCATCTGTTTCCACTAGTCAGACCTTGCCATAAAATGTGAGTCAAAACAAGCATGGGTGATTATGGTCTAGAGGTACGGTGTTCGCCTCTCTTTCAAGAGGCCCCGGATTCGAAACATGGCAGTAACGGACAATTTCGTTTTCTAAAATAGTTTTTTTCTTTCACTTTTCCTGCTGTTTAATCATGTTCTGCTTTCGTCTGCACTTATTCCCTTCCTGCCCCGTCCCCCTCCCCCTTTTTTTATATTTCTCTTCCTTTAAAACTCCTGACTGTTTCTGCTGCCTCTCTGCTGTTACTCCTTTGCTCATTCTTTCTGCGATCTTTCAGCCAAAACCTCTGATCTTAGGGCAGGTGAAATCAAACACCTTGCTCTCCGATTAGGGTGAAAAAATTTCGGAGGTCCCATGTTCAAACTGGAATGTTAAAGATCCCTTGGTGATCTTAAAATTGATAAGAGTAGGCTTCGGCCGCCGCCCAGGCAAAATTCAAATCAATCCCTACCAAACAGTAAATGCTTTATGTGTCCTCCGCGCTCATGTGACCTTATGCAGCTGTGAGCGTCATAAAACAAAAATACGACAAAAACAAGGATGCTGATCGAGAAAGACCCAAACAAGTCTACTTGACGGCTACACTTGGCCGTAGGGGAAATCCTGTACGAAAAGGAATTGAAAAAAAAAACGCCTTCTAATCTACTCTGCCATGCATTGACGAATGATTTAAATTTCAACTACCGGTACTTGAAGCTAACATCCTTGAATGTTCTGTGAATATGATTACTGTTACATTCGCTAGATATTAGAGTATTGTCTTTTTTTCTCCTCATCGAATCCTGCTCGTCCACTTATTCCTCTTCCTTCATTTAATCTTACTCCTTCTCACTCCATCATCTTTCAAGTCGTTTTTCTTTCTTCTTCTTCTTCTTCTTCTTCTTCTTCTTCTTCTTCTTCTTCTTCTTCTTCTTCTTCTTCTTCTTCTTCTTCTTCTTCTTCTTCTTCTTCTTCG